AAGATTCGTGCGCGCGAACAAATGAGCTTTAGTACTTGTTCCGTTGAACAACGAAAGGGCATATTGGGAAATGTACAGGCGAGCCTCTTCCCCATCCCGGCCACCGCTCCCTCCCTAATCCCAATCTGCCTTCTCTTCGACTGCCCTGCCGCGGCACCTTCACCACCACCGCGGCCCCGCCTTCCCTAACCTTGCATCGTTGCACGCGCCCCCGCCGCCAAGCTCGCCGCCGGTCGAACCGTGTCGGTGTTTCGAACCGCCGATGAGTAAATTTGTATTTACGTGTCTGGCTCGGATGGTGTGCTCGGAGGACACAAGGATTTATACTGGTTTGGGCGGAGTGTCCCTACGTCTAGTTCGTGGCTGCTCGTGTTACCGGCACTGGTCTGTAGTAGGGGTTATAAACTGGCGAGAGAGGGAGCAGATCACAAGTCTCTGATGGAAAGATCGAATGGAGTTGAGTCTCGTTGAGCTCGTGCCCTCCGTGGGGCGTCTTGCTTCCCCTTTTATAGATGAAGGGGAAGGCGCAGGTTACACGAGAGAGAAAGAAGCGAGGGAGAAGAAGGCCTTCTGGGGTCGCGGCGTCTTTCATCTCCCTTATGCGGGTCCCACCGGTCCTGTAGATGATGACGGGGACAGCTCCACGTCGCGACCCTGTTTGCCACTGGTGCTATGCGTGGGTGTCGTCAGCCGGTCACGACTCTCCATTCCGTCCCAGCGGGCAGCATGGCCAACAGGTACCACTGTTGGAAGCCGTATGGGGGTTAGGCAGCATAGCGCCGGAACGCCCGACACTGTTGGCGATGTGAGCCCCTAGGTTTGGCCTGTCGTGTCCATTGGTCACGTCAAGACATGCCCGCTCCCTTCCTGGTGTCAGAGGTTTGTCCCTGGGTTCGTACTCTTATACCCGTAGTGGTTGGAGGCGGTGCGGACCCCCATGGGGCCTGTGTTCCCGCTCGAGACCGAATCCGTGCCCTCAGGGTCAGGCGAGGCGGAATCCCCCCTCGAGGGGTTTGGCGAGACAAAGCCTGCGCCCTCGGAGTCGGGCGAGACGGAGCCCGCGCCCTCGAGGTCAGGCGAGATGGAGCCCGCACCCTCGGGGTCAGGCATGACTGAGCCTGCGCTCTCGGGGTCGGGCGACACGGAGCGTGTACCCTTTGGGTCAAGCCAGATGGAGCCCGCGCCCATGGGGTTGGGCGAGACTTTAAATACACCCTTGACCATCCGGGCGAATTAGCGTTCGTGGCCATTAACTTCCTTCTTCCGGGTATCCCTAACACTGATACCCGACTGTAGCCCCCAAGCCTGCGGAGGAGTTGGATACTCTTTTGAAGGCTTTTTCTGATGGAAGGACTCTGAGGGCATTGATCTCCCTTTGTGGGCCACGGGATGTCTTGGTAGGGTTGCGATCCCTTTCTGTTGCGATCGAACACTTCGGGAGCAAGCAACTGCGGGATTTGGGGGTCGGAAAAGATGTTTCTTGATTCCGATCCCTCCCTAGGATCCGATTGATCCACCATTGTTATGCGACCACGTATTTAGTCTCCTTGCGAGTCTAACTTCCCCGAGCCCCGTGCGTAGCAGGAGTCTGGTCGAGGGGTCAGCTCGTCTTGTGGTCATTCTTCCTCAAGCGTTTTTTTATAAAACGGAGGGGCTAAGCCGTGCCATGTTTTCCTCGATGGACGAATCATGGTGGTTTGAGTGGGGCCCTGGCTTCCCGTTCGTGGGGGTCCGGCATGGGTCAGCTGGTGACCGACTCTAGATTCCTAACGACAAGTCCATATAGTTCTTGGGTCCGTTCGACCGGTCCCAAAGGCTCGTTGCCTTTCTTCGAGGAAAAACCATGGACTGTGCACCGACCAAGACTCAAACGTGGGCAGGGATGCCCATAGCGCTCGTGTGCCCGGGTATTGGCCGCTAGCGGGCCCATCCCTTACCACCCCTCACTCTAAAGGTGTCCTGGAGCAGTTGTGAACCCGTCGGTGGGCCAACCTTCGAACTCCTAGGCCTTAATGGGCCGTGGGAGCGTTTTAGCTCCGTATCCCTCCTTACCTGTGGCGGTTTTTGGCCCACTGAGGGGGCAAACCGTCATCCGGCGCGCCCTTCGAGGGGGCGACCGGTGGGGACGTGCACACGATTCCCGAGGAGGCAAAGCGATGGGGCACGGCAGGCGCTTCGATCTAGGCGGATGGTTCGCCTCTCACTCCACCTTCACTTATAAATAGGGGCCTTTCCCTTCATCTCTGATATGCTTAACCGCAGCCTCGTCTTCTCCGCCGCCAGTGCTTGGATCTCTTGCCCTCGCTCTTCCGCCACCAGTGAAGTTCTTGTTCCTCCGCCCTTGCTTCCCATGTAGTCATGGTATCGCTCTGACGTCACCCACGCGCGCATGGAGGGCCTCGTCAAGCGTGGTCTTCTCCGTGGGAGAACCAAGGTGGTGGAGTGGCTCGTGCCCGGACGTGAGGAGGCGCCGGCGCCGCCCGACGGCTACGTCGTGTCCTTCACACCCCTCTTGCTTGGTAACATCTTGGTCCGATGTTGGAGCGTGCGATCGACGTGGGTAGCATCATAGCAGGCATAGGGACAATGTGACGTCCAGTGCAAAGGGGAAGGGGGAGCCGATGTCCGGAGCAGGTCAGGCCTCCACGGCGAGGTAGGACGTCGAGGAGGAGCAGAGCTCGAGAAGGAGCGGCTTTGCCAGAGACGCAACTGACGGCAGCCTCGTTGCCTATTCTGGCGATCGAGGCGGTTAAGCTTCGGTGGGGGTGCGAGATGAAGAGGCGGCAAGGCGTGGAGGGAGGAGATCAAGCTGTGGGGCGTCGAGGCGTGCAACCAGCGGTGCGCAAACGCGATGAGGCGAGGTGGTGGCACGCCACAGTGGGAGTGGGACACGAGACGGTCGCTGTGAGATCTGATGCCAAAGTGGAGGATGTGGGATGGAGGAGGCTCGCTGCTGTGAAACCCTAGCTACTCTACCATGGCTTTGAGCGAGCCACGAGGGAGGGGCGAGAAAGAACATTGACTATTAGCACAATTAAATAAATAAGATAAAATTATTATTATTATTCGCTCATATTCTATCCACGTCACGTGTGTGAAGTCCGAGGGAGCCTGATCTCAAAAAGAAGTTAATTCTGTAAATCAGAGACTTAATATTGCTATTGAAAAGGTTAAAAAACCTTATAGACAACAAGCTAGTATTTTTGCGGAATATATAGCTTTTCAATTAAAAAATAGAGTTCCATTTCGAAAAGCAATGGAAAAAAGCCATTGAACTAACTAAAAAACCATATATATATATATATATATATATATATAAAGGAAATAGAAATCCAAATTATGGGTCAAGTCTAGCAGAAAAAGAAATCGCACATCTCAAATGTCGAATGCATAAAAAGAGTAGAATGGGGTGGGCCCACCACCCACGCGACCCCCAAATTTGATTAGAAGACGTTGCTCAAGGCGAACATGCCTCCGCGTGCGGCGATTCTTCTAGGACCCACTTGTCTTTTTCTGTCTTTTTCAGCATGATACTTAGTTGAAGCGCGTCGTCCACTTCTTCTGTAGAGGCTACACATGGAATATCGGGATGTCGGCCACATAGTGTATGATTGTTTTCGTTTATTTTATTCTTTCTTTTTCTTTTTTCAATTTTTTGTTTTCTTTTTTTGTTTGCTTTTTCATGTTTACATATTAACCTAACCATTTTTCTTCTTATTTGCTCAAAAAAACCATTTTATCTTATTTTTAGATTGAAAAGTTGTGGTGACAAATTGTCACATAAAAAGTTAGGCACACAAGTTATGAGTATAACTTTGTAACTTTCTAAAAAAAGAGTTATGAAAATAATTTTTTAGAAAAAAGAAAAGTAAAAATGTTATGTTGAGAAGCTGTGGCCATAAGTGTTGTTCCGTAAAAGGATATACATAAAAGTTATGTGTATAATTTTGTAACTTCTAAAAAAATTGTAAAAAAAGTTCAAAAAAGTTATGATAATAATTATAGTGATAACTTGTCACGTAAAAAAGTTATGAGTATAACTTTGTACCTTTTCAAAAATAAAAAGTTATGAATTTTTTTAAAAAAAATAAAAGTTAAAAAGCCATGACAGGTTATGCTAATAAGTTCATAAGTTACGTGTATAACTTTGTAATTTTCTAAATAAAAATTATATAAAATACTTTTTTTGTAAAAAATAGTTATGGGGTTGTGGGACCTACCACAGGTTTTAAAACCAGCACATTTGTAACTTTTTTAAAAGAAGAAAGTTGTTCAAAAAAAATTAAAAAAGGAAAGTCGCGGAGCTGTGGGATTAGAACCAGCAGTTGTTCGCTGATTAGTGGAGCCAGTTGAAGTATAACGTGGATTGTCCGTCCTTTCCATCAACTTAAATATTTAAGTTGAATTGGTTGGTTCCATCAACTTAAACATTTAAGTTGAGTTAAAATGGTTGGTGCATGCGACTAAATAACAAAACAAATATGTCACCCATTCAGCCCGATACAGAGCTCACTAGACACCAGAGACAGAGTGAGCACGGGCATCTCAAAAAGTTCAGGCTACACAGCAAGGTTCAGTTCAGGGTACCGTTGATGACACTTCTCAGCCGAGCAAATATGCTGGTGCTTCAGGCTCTTTCTCTTCTTCCTGACAGGGGAAATTAAACCAGACTTGAACTAGACAAAAGTTACGAAGGACTGTTTTACTCAGACCAGGCAGTGACGGCTCAGGTGTTGGGGCTACAAAAGTTACCAAGATTTTATAGCCGTGTCATCCCATCCGTGTCACTTCATGCTTGCAGTAGCTTGCAGCTACAAGCCTACAGGACTACAACTGCAGCCAACGCCACGTTCAGTGTGGTCCATAAGTCGGAGCATGAGCCTGCCAACGGAGACTTCAGAGTTACCAAGATTGAACCAACCAGCAGCTATTATATTATAGAACGACAACGCTGTGCATGCGTTTGAAACTTTGAACACCATGCCATACACCCTACCTCCTCAGGGCTTGAGATCCTTGACGATGAAGTTCTGGCGGCTGATGGGGTTCATGACCACCGGCGGGCCCGCGGTGCGAGGCCACGCCTGGAACTTCTTGTCCGTCGCCTGCCACCACTCCTTGTCCGCCACCGTCCTCGGTGTCGTGCCTGCTCACCATGTAAGTAACACGGATGTTAACGTGAGGATTATTGAGGTGGTTTGCGGTAAAACTTGAGGTCATCAGTTGACCGATCACCCTTTACCTCCAAAAACCTTCTTCTGTGCCACCACGACATCGGAAGCATACGCGATCGCGAAGGAAGCAGCTAGACCGGCGATGATGTACTTGGCCGACATTGTTCAAACTGCATAGTTTCGTAACGTACAGGAAGAAAGGTAGCAGGTTCAGGGAACGGAGGAGCTGGATAGCGGACAGGCCTGTCGGTTCTCGATAGCCGACAATTCTGTTGGCATTCCAAAATCCGATAGGGTCTGTCGGCCCTCCAGCTGCCGTCAGGTTACCGACATGACACCTATCGGCCCTCCAGAAGCCGATATGATGCGCTGTGATGCAAACTCATGGAGCTCTGCACCTGCACAAAGAGGAGGCTCGAAATTTAACTTATTCCATCCATCAGGATTCATGAAGCTAGAAAGCTTGTTTAGCCTACAACTACTCTGTCTGCCGGTCGCAGCAGCGGGCCTGAGGACACAGCAAGCCACACGACCACCGTGCTAATCACTTGGCGCCGGCGTCAGCGTCAACCACGTCCACAGTGCCGACGGCGGGCCTCTCGACGTCCTCCATGTCCTCCTCGCGGACGAACACCGCCTGGTCCAGCACCGACGGCCCGGCCTGCCCGCGCGCGCTGCCGCCGTCGGCTCCGTTAATCCCGTTCTTCCCGTCGCCGGACGCCTCGTTGGCCGGGACGAAGACGCCTGTCTCCTGGTCGGGCACCCACGCGTCCTCGGCACCGGCGGCGTCGCTGTCGCCCACGCCGTGCAGCGCTTCGGCCGCGTCGGCCGCGACCAGCGTCGCGGAGCGGTTCCCCTGGACCGCCTCCACGTTCTTGCGGTTCAGCGCCGCCTCCACCTGCGCCGCGGTGGCGACTGTCGCGTCGGCATCGGCATCGGCATCGGCGTCGCCGTGGCCCTCCCGCTCCCGCTCGGCAGTGCTGTGGGAGAAGCTCTGCACTGCTCCTCCGCGCCTGCAAAAGATCGACGCCGACATGTCTGTCACTGGTGACAGTATGAACTAGGTGCTGCCTGCCACTGGCAAGAAAGGTTGCAAAGACGCAAGCAAGATCCTAGGTGAAAACAGAAAACAGAGTCTGTGGGCTAATCGAGACGCCTCCATGGATCGCCAACCTAGAATGAATAGATCCGGCCATCCCGAGAGCAGAGGTGCCTTGTTACCTGCAACAGGAGCCGGAGGAGAGAACGGCTAGCCCACCATGCCCGGCCGCACAGCGGCCGGCGACGGCGGCGGCAAGAGCTCTCGTGGCCATGGACAAGCGGCTGCTGTGTACGCACCGAACACAGACTTTTGCAACCTGTTCATTTGGCTGTGGCTTGTCGTAAACGATCGTAAATTTCTAGCCGGAACAGTATTTTTCTCTCACATAAACCAACCAGCAATACTTCTTCACAAACCAACGACGAAACAAACCAGCCAACCGAACGGGCCGCAACCGGCGGAGGAACGGACCGGGGAGCACGGAGGGGTTGTCCGTACAGTCCTTTAAACTTTTAACCCTGCTATCGGCGGATGACTTTTGTTTTCTGCTCTTGATGCTGTGTGAGGGAGGGCGGCGACGTGTGCAGACTGCAGAGTGCCGCGGGTGGTGGGCAATGGCGTGGCAACACGGTGGGGAGCCGGGCCCCGGGCGTGGCAGTTTTATAGGGCACGGGCGACCTGTCTAAACCTAATAAAATTTGATTCATTGCTGCTAAGTTGAAGAAAGTTTGACTTGTCTTAACCTAGCATTGTATTTTTTTTTCTTTTTGGGAGTAAATTCTTTCTAGGATACGACGAATATCAGATGATTTTCCAGTCACGCACGCCTCCTGGCTGACGACAATTTTACAGCCGTGTCATCCCCCTCGTCACCTAGTAGCAGATCACCGAATCTTGAGTTCGAGAACGCAGCGTGCGTTTCTGAATGACTCAATGACACGCTGACATGCATGCGCGTCACTGAAGATGCGCATCAAGAAAACGCAGTGTTGTTGCAACGCAAAAGAGGTGGCTACTGCCTACTGAAACACTCAGTAGCTTCTTCACGTAACGCGTACTCTCTCTACTTACCATAGAACGGCTTCTGGAAGCTTGAGTTTCCAAGAGACGAGCCCAGACTAATTTGCTTCACTAGACAAGGCACATATTCCAGTCATTCAGCGCGACACAGATCACTGGAATGAGCAGTAAATACATATTGGACACAAAAATATTGTTTTTTTATAAACTTGTCTAACTTAATAAACTTTGATTTACTGGCTCACTGCTGCTAAGTTTAAGAAAGTTTGACTTGTCCCATCTAGCATAGTTTTTTTTGGGGAAGCAGTAATTTCCTTCTGGATATGACGAATATCAGATGATTTTATGCAGTCACCCACGCCTCTAGCCTGACTGACAAATTTTTGGTAATGCTCACGAGTCACGACCGGCCGTTCAGACGCCGCGTTTTCTGGGTCTGGTCCAAGACGCAACCGACCTGCTCCCTTTTATGCTATACCGATCTCTCTACTTTCTACTGAGCACGCTACGATAGAAATTTCCCACTCGCTTCGCCATCGCCCTACGGTTTGTCAGGAACCAGTAGGGCTTCGGCATCTTGACACAAGAACACAAAACCAACATGTAAGTTTGTCCCTAGTTCGATCTGTAGGGAAATAAATCGCATGGCACCATATTTTCAAATAATTCTTGATTTCATATACAAAATTTAAATTTGAACACGTTGACGCCCGCAATAATTTAATGCCAGCTCAAACAGTGCGCTGATGCGCTATCCATCGTGGCGCTTCATCTAATCCATGCTAGTTTTGGGAACAGCGTTTTGGCGACCCACTCCGGCATAAGTTTTCAGGAAAACTCGCTCGGAGGAGAGTAGTTGCCACCACGCTTGTAGTTCCCCTCGCGGTGCTCCCATCCCCACGGCACCTCCGTCCCCCGCCCCCGCCCAATTGAACAAATGCCCCATCATGATAAGCGCATGCCAAAAAATAGGGCCCATTTGAAAATAGGTCTCACAAGACTAGCGAGATGTGTACAACAGTTAACATTAATAAATAAAAGCATGTAATGGAAATTGGAAATCAAGATGCTAATGCTATGGCAGACATGTATTTTTGCTAGAAGAATTGCACTCAGTCTGTGCACGTGAGAGCAACCAGCCTACAAATAACTGCAGTCAAACATATAGTATAATGTCACATGTCAATGTCGAGGCAAATGTAACATCTACACCCTACAAATAACTGCAGTTGCAGCCCTTCAAACCAGCAATTATACAAGCACAGCTAGCATCATTAGGAGCTGATTTGAAGATGGTACATCGGCATGCCACGCCACCAATGGTAGCCTGGAAGTAAAGGTGAAGCGATGTATCTTGATTCTGGTCAAGTGGCAATAAGATGGATAGAAAAAGGATGATTTTTGGCACGGCTTCCTGTAATTCTGGCGTTGGCCCTAGGTGTCTTCTCCTTAAGTCGGGGAGGACTTCTTTGGGGAGCCCACAGCTCTAACATCCGCCGTGAGTGCAACTGTCAAAATCTGGTCCATTTAGTTCCGTATTTCTCACCATACATAAATGAAGCCTCAAGTATAGGAGTATAGCGATATGTATGCGAGGGTGGCTATTCGATCCGGATGATGCAACAAATGACGGAATCTTTACAGTTTTCGAGGAATTGAAGCGAAGCGTCTCTCATAAGCGGTAGTCCCGTGAACACGGGATTAGAAACGAATTGAAAGCTTGGTCTAGGAAAGGCAGCTTTTGTAGAGAATGGCGAGAGACTCGGAACACTAGAGGTGAAGGCTGCCCCTATAAGCTCTCTTGCATCGGAGGTATTGCTAGACGAGACTCTTGATAGGCCTGGGTGTCCTTCTCACCTTAAACTAACGCCAAGAAGTTTGAGTCAGAGTAAAGCCCGACCAAGCGGTAGAGGGTGCCTCCACTATGGATGGGAAGTAAAGCATCAAACCCTAAGCTATCCCTAGTGAAGCAAACCACCGAGACATGGAGGGAGGGAATGGGAGGAGCGGATCGAGAATGGGTGATTGGGTGAAAGCTTGGGATGAGGTGAGGCAAACTGAGGAGCGAGGCTGTCCTTGACTCGGAAGCCCAGCCCGGGTTGTACAAGGCGGTTGGAGTCACTAGAGTGGTGGTGGTAGGCTGGCCTATCTGAAATGTAGATTGCTAAGGATCAACCCCAATAGCAGTGAATACATGCTGCTTGCATGAAACCGAGTTTCTTCTTTTTCTTTTTTTTTTGTTTGAATCATATGAGTTCGATTTTTAGTTCCTAAGATTTTATATATTCGCTGGCCCAGATGAAGGACTCTGACTCTTCTTGCTGCATGAACCCTGAAACTCATCTGTCATGCCTAGAACGAACAATAAAACAGTTGAGCTCGCAAGTGGTGAAGATTGGCCGGTCTCCATGCTGGAAGTGGCGTGGAGTGCAGTCGCGACGGCTGGTCTCTGTCCTCATCCGCTCAAGCCTCAAGTATAGGGTACAGCTAGGAGTCTTGAATCGTCTCTATCTGCGGTGGCTGTGTGGTGGAGCTGAGCTAGAGCCTGTGGCCCTCTCTCGGGGTGTCATGTGGACGAGGTGCCATCTGTGATGGGAGTAAAGTCACGAACCACAGGCTATCCTAGTGAAACCTAGTGAAACAAACCTGCTTTGGGTGAGGACACACCTTTCTGGGTGGGTGAGGCTCACTAGATAGTCATCGCACTCGTGAAGAGCTATCGCTCGGTCGTCGCTCGGAAGCCCTCTCGACCTCATCTTTCATCTGCATCAAGCTCCTCCTCCTCTGTCTGAATCATGATGATGCCCTTGATGATCTCATCATCCTGAGCACATCTCTCGCTCTCTGCTAGGAGTATCTCTAGCGATGACTCTGAGGTGGCGAGGTGTCCTCGCTCGGGTCGCTCACCTCGACTATGACATAGCATGATCGCTCATGTCATATCTCATCTTTGTGGAAACTCAATAGTAGCACCTGTCCACTCTACCATTGTCTCTAGGGACTTGTGTGGAACTACCTTTCGGAGTAAGAAATTGATCCAATGAGCATAAGACAGCTGATGGTGACCTCTGAAGCCCTCTGCTAGTGTGTCCTCCATCTCTAAAAGCATCCCATCCCAAATATCAAAGACAGTCTGAGACACCAGGTAATGCACTAGCCACAGCTGAATTCGAGTTAGGCCCTCGTGGTAGCCCATCCTCGGAAGTAGAGTTCTCCTCATAATAGCATCAAGGAGCAGAGTTGTAGGTGTAAGGTCACGTGGTGTCCTGCTCGACCCCTCACCAAACGGCTCTATGAAGCATATGGTCTGACAAGATCTATAGGTGGCATAAGTCCATCGTGAGGGCATCTCGGAGGCTCTGTTTGTCCATAGCATGCCTCGTGAAGATGAATAGGTGACTCTATAATCCTCAGTATCCCACTGACCCTCGAGCTCTGAAGCCTGTAGTCACACCCTCGGAAAGCAAAATGAATAAACCTATGTCTCGGGTCAATCCACAAGGAGGAGTAGAACTCACGGACCCAAGATAGAACATACCGACCAGTCCGTCCAAGGAGATCTGACAAGCCTGGCAGATAAGTGAGATAAGGACGGTTCTGCTCGCCTGCAGCTACAACTAGAGACTCTAAGGAGCAGACCTGCTGAGATCTGAAGGCAACACCGTTGTTGAGATATGCACTATAGAAGTCCTCCTGCAATATAGTATAGAAGTGCTCTGAGGCACGCTCATCCCACCTCGACGAAAACCAATCCTCAAACTGTACGAACTGTAGCTGCTGCACCTGTCTGGCTGTGGCTGCCCTCAGGTCAAGGTGAACAACCGGAGGCAGACCCTGTGGTTTGGGAGGTGGACGAGAGCCCCGCCTCTGTGTTTGAGGCCTCGATGACACCTGAGTGCGTGTGCGACTGGAGCGTCGAAGCTGTGGTTGTGCTGCCTACTCTGCCTCCTCAACCTTCTCTCCATGCTGAGCGTCCTCTGTCTGCTCTGCCGACTGTGTCTGCTGCTCAGTCACCCCCTGAGTCTAACTATCCTCTAAAGAGACACGCCGTCCTCCAAGCATGATGGTCTCGGGTGGACTATCAAGACTAGCCTCAATCCTCTCGACGGCGGCCCTCTGAGCCGGTGACAACTGATCGCCTATGCGAATGCCACTACCAGATCCACCTATCTCAGCTCGCTCTGCGGCGGCTGCCACTACTGCTGCTCTCTCTGCCTCAACATCATCTCTCTTGCGCTTCTTTGTAGTCTT